CCCCACAGCCGAATCATGGTATTCTTTTAAAATTTTCAGAATTCTGGCAGATCCCTTTGGTAACACCAACCTCTTCTTGTAATATAGTAAGCCCTTAATGATCTGGAATTCCTTGTTTTGGTCTGGATATGAAATTTCTTTCTGAATCAGTTCTTGACATTTAGGATCCTTGCTCAATTCTTCCTCCAGTCCATCCCATTCTTGACAGCTGATAATTGATAGTGATTGCAAGGCATACTTTCTAGATAAAGCATCTGCAGCCTTATTCTCCACCCCTGGTTTGTATTTTATGGTAAAATTGTAGCCCAACAGTTTAGAGGTCCATCTTTGTTGTTCTTCTCCCATGAGCCTTTGTTCAGTAATAAACTTTAAACTTTTCTGATCTGTGTGGACTTCAAAGGGTCTGCCCAATAGATAGGGTCTCCACTTCTGAATAGCTAGTACAATTGCCATCAATTCCCTTTCATAGACTGACCTCTTCTGATTTCTAGGTGATAGCTCCTTGCTCATGTAGGATACAGGCCTCCCTTCTTGCATCAAAACTGCCCCCAGTCCAGTACCTGAAGCATCGGTCTCAATAACAAACATCTTGTTGAAGTCAGGTGTGGCCAAAACAGGTAATGTTGTCATGATCTTCTTCAGTTCTTCAAATGCTTGTGCTGCTTTTAAATCCCAGTGGAAGTTATCTTTCTTCAAAAGATTTGTAAGAGGAAAAGCAATTTTGCTATATCCTTTTACAAATTTCCTGTAATAGCCAGTGAGCCCTAGAAATCCCCTCAACCCCTTTAAATCCTTAGGGGCAGGCCACTGTAGCATAGCTTCAATTTTGGCTGGATCAGCTGATACCCCTTTCCCTGAAATTATATGGCCCAAATATACCAACTCAGATTGCCCGAATGAACATTTCTTCAAATTAATCTTCAACTGATTCTCCTCCAATGCAGACAGTACTCTTCTCAAGTGTTCTTGGTGCTCAGGAATAGATTGGCTGTAGATGAGGATGCCGTCAAAAAAGACCAGGGCAAATTTTCTGAGAAACGGCCTCAATACCTGATTCATTAGTGACTGAAACATTGAAGGCGCATTGGACAGTCCAAAGGGCATCACAAGGTATTCGTAATGGCCTTCATGCGTTCTGAATGCAGTTTTCTTCCTATCCTCTTCTTTCATTCTGATCTGGTGGTATCCAGATTTCAGATCTAGCTTGGAAAAAATTCTGGCATTCCCCAGTTCATCTAAGAGTTCTTCAATAATCGGTATTGGAAATTTATCAGGTATTGTTATTCTGTTTAAAGCTCTGTAATCCCCGCAGAATCGCCATCCCCCGTCCTTCTTCTTTGCCAATAGTATGGGGCTGCTGTAGGGGCTGTTACTAGGTTGAATGATTCCCGAGCTCAACATCTCTTGTATAATCTTCTCTATTTCAGTCTTTTGGTATTGGGGATACCTGTAGGGTCTAATATTTGGTATACTAGCTCCCTCCTGTATGTTAATGGAATGATCACAACTCCTAGATGGTGGTAATCCTTCCAAAGGTTGTGTTATTTCTGGAAATTCAGCTAAGACTTCTTCCCAGATGCAGTCCATATCCTTCTCTTTCTCCATCTGCATTAGAATCCCTTCACAATATAAAAGATATCCATCTCCATTATCTTGTATAATTTGTGTTAAAGTTTTCAATGAGACTTCCATTGAACTTAACTTAGGATCCCCTTGAACTGAATGACTGAGTCCTGAACTCTTCCAGTTGATCGTCTGCTTCTGAAAGTTTATTTCAACATCTCCCAAGCTGGTAAGCCACTCCATGCCCAAAACGAGGTCAGTTCCTCCCAGATTTAAAACGTAAAAATCTTGTTGTATCTCAATATCTGGTAAACATAGTACCACCTCTTCACATCTTCTATTATTAGATACCTTCTCTCCATTGCCAATCTGCACCTTATACCCTGTAATCGTATTGAAAGGTAGCTCCAGTTCCTCCACCAGTTTCTCGGAAATGAAATTATGCGTGGCTCCACTATCAATCAATACTTCTACCTGTCTTTGTCCCAAATTCCATTTCAGCACTCCCTTAATTTTGAAGGCCCTCATAGTAGGTATCCCTTCTCTACTCATAAGAGATAACTGCATAGATTTTGATTCCATCACCACCTCTTCTTCTGGAATTTCAGGTTCCTCACCGTCTGTTTCTTCCTCAACCTCTGAGTCTTCTACTAACATCAATTTATAGTTCTTCAACTTGCAGGTATGCTCCTTATTCCACTTCTCCCCGCACTTAAAACACAGCCCCTTCCTGCTTCTCTCTTGGAATTCTTCTTGGGATAATTGAGGTGCTACCTTCCTGATTCCTGAAGACTGCATATCTGTGACCTTCTTCCCCATTCTATCAAACCAGGAGTTGAAGTTCCTGTTCTCATTTGCCCCTTTTCCTTGAGTAGTGAATCCCGAGCTCCCATATCTGGCCTTAAAACCTTCTCCCCAGTTCTGAGATTTGCTAGGTATCGGTCCCTTATCTTTACCCCACATTTTTTCATCCTCCTGCTTCTTCAAATTTGTAGCGACATTCTTTCTTTCAATCAACACTGCTGTCTCCATAACTTCAGCTAGAGTTATAGGTTTATATAGTTTCAATTCAGCCTTCACTTCCTCCTTCAACCCAGTGATAAAAATTCCTCTCAGCATTTCCCTGTCCACGTTCTTCTGGGGTGCTATAGTCAGCTCAAATTCATCCCTATAGTCACTTACAGTACCAGTTTGTTTCAAACTCAACATAGGTTCAAAAGGATTCTGCAGCAACTCCGGTTGAAACCTGCGTATGACAGCCTCCTTCAAAGCTTCCCAGTTCTTCTCCTCCGTCTGGTGTTCCCACCATTGAAGCCAGTTAAGAGCTCGTTCTTCCATGGCTAATATAGACACTTCCAGTTTATCTCCTTCAGCAATTTGATTCAACCTAAAGTACCTCTCCATACGTATCAACCAGGTATAAGCCCCGTTTCCATTAAATAGAGGTAGATCCACCTTACGTGCATACTGGATATTAAAACGAGGGTGATCACCACCATGCCTATGATCATGACGATAAGAGTGGGCCGAGTTACCTCTCGAATGGGATCTGATATGAGGTGATCGCGAGCGACGATGCTGTGGAGATGGTGATCGTCCTCTGGAAGGGATCCTCCTGTCCCGATAGGCGGCCATAGAGGTTGCGATACTGTCCTGTATCTGTTGAGTCATCGCGACCGTGATGTTCTGAATCTGTTCAGTTGTGGCGGCCGATAGGTTTGCGATAGTAGCCCTCATCTGAGAACACCGGTATCAAGCTAAACAACTAGATCAATTCAGCAGATTTATGTAAGAACAGATCAAAGAGGATTATTATTGAATCTGAGAACTCCAGGTAGGTCGTACAAGCTCAAGGACTATTCGAGAAGCCCAAACTCCTGACATTCAATTATTCAGAGCAACAACCTGCCCTAATAGGCTAACAGACTTCTATTTATAGTCAATAGTCCACGCAGGGACTTTATTAATAGCTAATAGATTCATTAACTAATTATTGACTACCCCCCTTATTCCTCCTTTGATAGACTCTATTGAAGTATTTAATAGGCTGACCACTTATAAGCCTATCATTAAGTTATAAAAGAAATATCAAAATTAAGTTTATTGAGATTGGACCAATATTTTACCCCCTCCACATTATATTTCCTTCAAACTTCCCTCTTTATTTTCCTGTATATACTCTTCTCTAGTACTATCCGAGTTCCAAACAGTCCCTTACTGTCCCATAAGTTTCAAGCCTGTAAATGCCAATATTCTATCCTTGTGTCAAAAACACATTTATAATTACTGATGACGGTTTGTCATTGTAATGAAAAAAAAAAGCTATTTCCTCGTTTCCTGACAACTGACACTATATAGGTTTGACATCACGGACAGGTCTTTGTAGGTCACATTTTACAATACCTTATCTCTATCGATGTATATCTTTTTAATCCTTACAATGTTTCACATTAGGGCCCTCATTTAGATAAATCATGCTTGCTATCATACCCATTTCCAGGGTATTTCCTTATTTTCATAAACAAGAGGCTAGCCCAAACGAGGCATAAAAATCTTCATATTTGCTTTTCGCAACGATATTTCTGCTGTAATGAAATATTCACGACAACATTGTTAATTCTCTTTTTGGTAATCATCTCTATCTAGATTCTATTCAATGCCCTATTTTGTGATCGTTCTTGTTTGGTTCTCTACACTTTTCATGCTTGTGCAGTTGAACTACCGACCCTCTTTGACTTGATCTCATGTGGCAGGTTAATCTGGAAGTGCTGCGGAACAGGTTAGCCGAAGCTCATTCTGAGCATCTGGATAGAGGTTGCAGATTGAAACCTGAATTCTGTTTAGAAACTAAATTTGGACTTACCGCACTTTATATCAGCTGCCAATCCTGCAATACCTTTGAAATAGTTATATAGGCCAATATCACTCTACTAACCTCTACCTCCACTCTATTTTGTACATTAGAACTGCATTGACCATGATCTATTCGTATATATATTTATGAGGTGCCTATTTTGCATTAACTTTCATTTATCTTTGCTAAAACATTGGGAAATGACATGCGTGAGGGGGAGGTGATCGGGATCGAGCCTTCGGTCAAATTTTTCTTGTATGCCATTCTAGATATGAGTTTCTTTTGGACTATAAAAAATGTTCATTTAGGCTAATATTGTAAATACCGAAGTACCGAACCATTTCACATAAGAAAAGTGTCATTTCGCTCCTAAAGTTATAAGTTATGGAAGAATTGTTGATTTGACATTTGTAATCTCGCTCCTAAACTGTGCTGGTTTCACAGTTTTGTAGCAAGGATAAAGTTAATGTTTTTTTTTTAGAGGAAGATAAAGTTAATGTTAACTTTTCAATATTGCCACTGGTTTATTAAAAGGTAGTACGTTTTAAGTAATCGCTAAATATTCAAACATTATATTCCTTACCTTTATAATTTACTCTAATCCAAACAGCCGGATATATCACTTGGGAAATAGAATTTCTGTATGGTGAGATAGAAAATTAAGTACGAAAATCAACCATCTTCACATGATCACATCAATAAAAAAGGGCCAAATCAATTTGAAACCAAGAGAATACTAAGAAAAACAAAAAGAATAAGGCACTAAGCAAACAAACTAGTCTCGTGACTTCCATTGCCTAATCTCAAGGACAGATGCGGTAATGAACAAGATAACAATGGCAACAGCAAAACCAGCATTCCAACTACTTCCTGCATCAGCTAAGTGTATTCCATAAAATATATTTGCGATCGCCAAAATCACCAAAATCCTTCCAACGTTGTGATGGTACCAATTCCAGTACTTCCTCACTTTGGCTTCCTTTTTAGGTCTTGCCAAAAATGCAATCACCTATACGAATCACACAAACACGGCCAATGAAAACTATTAGGCTAGCTAGCATGTCTTTAGTGCCACTTAAATTCCTCACTTTGGCTTCCTTTTTAGGTCTTGCCAAAAATGCAATCACCTATACGAATCACACAAACACGGCCAATGAAAACTATTAGGCTAGCTAGCATGTCTTTAGTGCCACTTAAATTCCCATGATATAATGCACACAAGAGGAAGAAGTCCTACTATAAGTAGGTCAAGTTAAAAGCCTTATACTCTTATTGTTCTTTATTCAAACGACCCAACAATTTTTTAGCCCCGGCGCCGGCTCACTTCATATTTGAAAAAAATTTGAATTTAAGTATGAAAATATTTATTTGAAAATAACTTTGTACCGCAACTCGACATATACTCCTGTGTCTTGACTACGCCACCGCTTCTTCTCATAGATGAAACAAAAGTATACAAAACATAGTGGGGTTGACCATTAGACGTTATGTATTCTCTACCAGATTCACTCATAATGTCACAAATATTATACTACCTCCGTCTCGGAAACAAGTTGACTTTCACACATTTTAAGGAAATAAAGTTACCGATGGGTAAATTTTATTGTTTTGACACCGTTTCGACACTGTTTCGACACTGTTTCGCACTGTTTGACACTATTTTGATGTAGATAATTTGCCAAATAAGGAAATGCGAAGTTTATTTTGGGACATCCAAATAAGGAAAGTGCGAACTTGTTTCCGGGACGGAGAGAGTATTAATTATCTTTGTTCCTGTGGACTTTGTCAATTTTGAATAAGGTGAAACATACGAAAAATAAAAGTTGTGTGATTAAGGTTTGTACAAATGAAAGAAAAAACCCACAAATTACTTGCTTCAATGAAAATTGAATAAAATGTGAAGAACGTTTTTGGAACAACAAAATATGAAAACACGGGCCATGAAAATATTATATTGTGAAGGCCAAAGTTGCATATATGCACGTACTTAATTTGTTAGTAAATATTGTTCCCTCCGTCCCAATTTGCATAATTTGTCAAATTTCCTATTTTGTTCATCGCAAAATAATTTTTCACATTATATTTTAGGTATGTAAAGATGGATAATGTGATAATGATGGATAACATTAATTTTTGTGTCAGTCAACTTTTGCAAGTCAAAATGTGACAGAGGGAATAATTTATTCGACAGCACAAGTGTTAGGTCCCTGTTTTCTAGTCTAGGATGTATGAGTATGGAAGACAGATATGGGAATGAAACTTTCCATTGATGGTGAAGGTTTTACATATCTCTAACAACAAGCCATGATGGTGCCTTGTCCACCCTATTTATTCTATTGTCACACCATATTTTATACAATATATAATTATTTACACATATACTACCCCGTAATCTCGAGATGTTCCCATTTGAAAAGTAGGTAGATTAAGAATAGTGAAAGGAGATGTGTATTATTGAGGATATGATGGGAAGCCAGTGAAATAATGTGATGGAATGAAGGATAAATCCAAAAAAAATAGGTGTAATAGTGTATTATTTTTAAAATTATTGAGGGTATGATGAGAGGATTTAGAAATGAGAAGATATTAATGTTACGTCCAGAAAAGGAAAGTGAGAAGATATTTACGTTACAAGGTAGTATATTTATAAAGAAGTGTTTGCTATTGCTTAAAATAAGCACTTTTTTAGCTTTTAACTTAAAATAAAATAAGCTGAAAAAAGTGTTTGCTAATGCCTAGTTCTACTTTAAAAAAATACTTTAAACCTAAAAGCTGGAAGCTGGTAGAGAGGTGTTTTAAACTGCTTTTCACTTTTTCTATTACACAAAAAACACTTATTTTATCAAACACTACCTATTTTTACTTTTTCAAAAACATTTTTTTTCTCAAACACTACCAACTTTTACTACTCCCTCCGGTTCTTAATTAAGTTCCTAGTTTGACTTCACACATATTAAGAAATAAATTTGACTTTACTGTGGAGTGCACTGTTTGACATTGTTTTGGTGTAAATCATTTGCCAAAAAAAGAAAGGTTTGAAGTAGGAACTTTAATATGGACCATCCCAAAAAAGGAAAGTATGGACTTAATTACGGGATAGGGGAGTATTAAACACTATTTTCAAAATCACTTTAAAAAAATCACTTTTTAAAAGTAAAAGCAATCACAAACACTCTGTAAGAATGGAAGTTGCAATTTTGCAAAGAATAATTGATATATATTGAGGTAGAACTGGAAGATACCTGCAAGCAACCGAGTACGAGAATAAAGATGCCAAGGGTTTTGTGGGTGTGAACATTAATCCCAAGACGATTTTCGAGCACAAACCCACAAATGACACCTGCGAATCCTAAGATGAATCCCACTGTCTGAATTGCGATGTGGGAGTAAAACCAGAATGGGTCCCATTCCCTGAAGTAGCGAGCCGCTATTATCCCAATAGGCACCGCTATTCCCCATCCGAACAAGTTCAACAACCCATGGGTCCTCTTTAGCTTCCCGTACAATGTCTTTGTCTGACTTTGACCTGTAGCATAGTCAATCAATGAAAAATAGATACTACTCCGTCCAAAAAAGGGTTTGTGGTCTACTCCCATTTTATGCGTCTTAGTTTGACTTGGCACGATTATTAATGAAGTGGTTGAAAAAGTAAAAGTTGTGGTTGAGGTTTGAGTTTAATAAAGTGAAATGGTGTAGACCACATATTTCTTTCCAAAAAAGGAAAGAAGACACTTATTTTGGGACAACCCAAAAAGGAAAGTAGGACAGGTAAAATGGGACGGAGGGAGTACACTTTACCAAGTTTTCAATTGGATATGAACGTGTTTGATACTTTGATCTATTGGATTAGGGATGTTTTTATTTGGACAATTTTCAATTCCAGATCAGATTTAAACAAATTGGATCAGACTTGACCGGATCAGATTAAAAAAGATCAGACTAAACTTCTATAGTTATAAAATACACAGAGATTAGACATATATCAGATCAGACATATATCAGATCAGACCAGACTTAAACACATCAGGCCAGATTAACAAATTTCATTTTAAATAAAAACATCCTAAGTTTGATCTCATGTAAACTATTAAAATTTGTTTACTCCTAGGCTCGAATCAGGGTTTAAACAACGGATCAAATGGGAAGAGTCCTTATAGAGTAGAAATGATCGAGAATGTATATCTAGTGATTTGAATGAGAAATCTAATGGCCTGAAAAGTGCCAAAAATCCAAAAAATTATGCAAGACATTCCGCAATTCACCAGAACTTTTTTGTCATTACAAAAGTACAGTGCATCAGATTAACGATAATAAAATACATAAAATAATGAAGTAAATGTGAAACTTTTTATTTCTCACGTTAAGATGTCTTTTTATTGAAATCATCTCGAGACTCATTCATAATCAATAATCTATGTTTCATTAAAAAAAAAAAACAATGTTTTATGCGTCACGAACATCAGGTTTTACTTTGTATTCCATTATCTTTATCGATCATTTTTTAATTTGGACTATCATATTCTAACTGAATTATATAACACTATACTGGTCTCATGAATAATATCAATGATGAACCTGTCGCCTTTTTTAAGAATTTTCTTTGTTATACGTACGATAGTTTATTGGCTCAAGGATTCAATTTACTAAAATTGTAATTGGAAAGATTATTGATGATCAAACAAGCAAACGAAAAAGCAGTCCACGAAGGCTACATTAACTGGAAGGACATTAATTGGAGTATATGATAAAGCAGTGCAGAAATTATTTTTTTAAGCTAATTAATCAAAGATATATCCAACATTTTTAATTGAAAAAAAATTAAACAAATATTTTTATATAATTAACACACCCAGTCAATAATATAATATAATATAATGAGAGAATTCCCTAAATAGGAGTAAAAACGTTTTGAAATTCCAAAATATGAGTATCATGTTTTTTATTTTCCTAAATAGGAGTAAATTTTTGCCAAGTTTGGCAATATAAGGCTTCAAACATGACATTTTTTCCCAAACTTGGCAGATTACTCCTATTTAGAGAATAAAAAAATGATACTCTTATTTTAAAATTTCAAAACGTTTTTACTCCTATTTAGGGCAATTTCTGCTAATATAATTGAAACGGTTGAATTCTCTCGTCAATTTCAACTAATGAACTAACTCTCATCTCACCGAACAAGCTCATAATTAGTCAAGTTAGCAGCCAAAAATAATGAGTCACGACATGTATTAATTTATTAATTAAATTGTATAATGATATGTTTGAATAAATGAATGAAACACCTTAAACTTGTATGTGAGATGTCAGCGCCATATATTGGCGACTCTATCTTGAGGATAACCCAACCATCATTTCTAGATATTTAATTTATAAGGACAGCTATATATTTAAGATATTATCCATTTTGTTCTTTGAAATGTATGATCCGAAAATGAAATAAGGTAATAGCTAGAATTTGTATTGTAATTAGTACGGAGTACAATAACACATACCAGAATATCATATCCTACCTCCGTCACACTAAATTACTTTCTAAAATAGCATTATAGAAGTATTAAAGTAGTATCACGATAGTTCAATACTCCGTTTAATTTAATGACACGTATCTTAGGAGGTGTTTGAAATTGGTTTTGGTTCTGTTTTATTTTTTCATAAGCAAAACTTGAATCATTTTTTTGAAGCTGATCTCTCTCGACATTTAGAAAAAAGTTAGAGCAATTAGAGTTCCCAATTTTTATTTTATGTACTTGATGGTGTAAGATTAATTTATGAAAAGATCCAATACTTTAAAGAATGTGTGGCCGCACTTTTGAAGAAGAAAGGGTCGACTATGGTAGGTAGTTGAATACTAGTAGTTGGGTGGCAATTGCGACTCAGCCATTTCAACAGATCGTTTTGTTTACGAATGGCAGATCGTAAGTAGCTGTCAAGGTCAAGTAATACCCTCCCTCGCCTACGTACAACTTGCTGGAGACCAATACTTTATTTGAATGATTTTGTGTCATTTTGATAATTTTTTCTGAACAATATCAAAAATTGTATAAAACCAATCAAATAATGAGAGATAATTTATTTACTAATATTTATGTGGTTATCTCTCATGTCACATGTGCACTATGCACATTATAGCTGGCATTGAAAATGCTCTCAAATACTCCATATTCAAATTCTTCTTTGGCACTTTCCTTCCATTCCTAAAGTCTTCACTTTTTCTTCTTTTGAAGAATAATACTACGTTTTTTATTACTCCCTCCGTCCCAATATAAAAGGCACATATCCCTTTTTAGGCCGTTCCAATATAAAAGACACATTTTCTCTTTTGGTAAACAAAACAGTGTCAAACAATGTTCAAACAATGTCAAACAGTGTCCAAACAGTGTCCAAACAGCGTTCCTCCTAAAAATGTTTGAAAAAGCAAATGTGTTCTTTATATTGGGACAGAGTGAGTATTAAAACTTAGAGTTTTTGCCACTCTAACCCCCTTTATTATCATGTCACTTTTGATACTTGATTTTCAATCACCTTCAATTATTATGTGAGAGACAATTTCATTCATCATCTTCAAATATCCTGATATTTAGTCCCCCTGGATATTACTTTTATAAAAATCAGATGATTAAATATCAAAATTCTCAAAAACAAATACTCCGTACTAAAAAAGTCTTGCTCAATAGTCAAAACTCAAAAGATTAAAAGTGAAAAAGTTCAAAGTCACAGTGATATAATAGGAGAAAAAATGACAAAAACGCTTAAACCCCATTAAGATAACTAAGCTACATTATTATTTCGTCCTTGACGCATTTTCTAAAAAAAAACCATTAATATCAGTAATCTCTAATTTAAGATTCCGATTTCCAAATTAACAAAAAGGATGTCTCCACAGCTCCACTCAATTACTTGTCATCGACTGATTGCAGTTTTGGCTCAGTGGTGATGTTTGCCTTTTGAATTAATTCCACCTTTCATATTATAAGTATCGCATCAATTATATAATTGCTTATTTAACCAATTTTGGTACATAAGAAAATATTCTGAGTTGGGACGATGTTACATTTGACATTAAAGTCATACACTTCACAAATAGCGAATCACATTATTAATATTATTTGATTAAATTTAGTTTAAGACTTAGGAGGTGTTTAGATCTGATTCTTAATTTTTTTTTTGCTCTTTCAGGGAGCAGAAGCAGAAATTGGAGTGTGAGTGAAAGTACAGAAACGATTCTAGTACTCTAATTTACTTCTAGAATCAGTTTAGAAGTTGATCTCCTCCAGCTTCTAAAAACTGATTCTGATTCTGATTCTACTTTTAAAAAGAATCAGAAGCAGAATTAGTTCCAAACACCCCCATATACGTACAAGTATATATAGAAAGATCAATTTATATTATGTGTGTGTAAATATGCAATTGTAGATAAAACTTGAAAAAAATATCAAGTTAGGCATAATAAAATTTAGTCAACTTTTTGTCCTTTATTCATAATACAAGATCATATTTTAGATCTTTTTCTATGTTTAACCATTATTTTGAACAACTTTCAATAAAATTCTTGAGATATAAATCAGGGCTGAGTTGGGGTGGGGACAGCTGTCACCGCTATCCCCACAGTGGATACACCACCGTACATAATCTTTGTGTTTTCATTCATACATGATTTTTTTGTCAATGTTTTTGCTGAAAACCCCATAAATTGTGATAAAACATTAGTAAATATTACTTCACTAAATTCCACACTATTTGCAGTTTTGCACCGTTGTAAGGGAAATTCCTCAAGTTTTTCGAAGTGACTGCTCATCCGAAAAAAGTTGCAAAACATTCACTCGACAAAAGTAATTTAACTCGAGCGCCCAAAACTATAATATGAATTGGCCAATGGCCCCAATGGGTGTCCAAAACTTAGCTCAATGATTAATTCATTAGTAAACTTTTCCCCTCCAGATAGACTTTAATCAATTACGTTGATCAATATAAATTTATCACGGTTCTAAGTTTATATTCTTCTATTAAAATATTGTTAATAAATAGCTTCGTATCATTTCAAATTGTAATAAGGTTTTATACGTAGTATTGCCAACAAAAGGGTTTTATACGTACTAAATAATTACCGAGTATGAGATCGAGTATGTCATTGTCAAAAGTTAAAGATGATTACGTTTTATGTGGGGATGAAAAATATGTAAAATCCCAACTTTATGTAAATGTCAAAAGTTAAAGATACACTAAAAATCTCACAAGTAAATCCCCATTTTCTTTAATTTCATTTATTTGCGTATATAAAAATGATCATGACTCACCTGTGGTATAATCCAAGGAAGTAGAAATTTGGTCTTGATGTTGTGTGAGGCGGAAAGTGGCGGAGGACGGCAGCTGTCCGGTGGGTCCGAGGGAGTAGATCAACCGGTTCGACGGCTGGTCGGTGTTTAGCCGGAAAGCCATGTAGATTCTTGAATTCTCGGCGACGATGGATGAGCTCCGGTTGACTAATTGAAGGTTACCCTGATCAGGCTGCACTAGAGAAGGAGACTGCCCACCAAGAAAATACCTCTTCATGGTTGGTGTCCCACCGGAACCCACCCACCCCACTATGGCACTGGACCCCACCATCCTCCCATCTGATGAAAACCCCATTCCAATGTATGCATTCATGTTTGGAGCTGATAGCAAGAAACTCCACTCTCTTGAATCTGTTTTCCTATACTGAAAAAAGAATCAACTTTTCTAAATACCATGTAGAGCACAGAACCTCTCAAGAAAGAGTAAGTTTCCGTTTTGAAAACTCTTCAATCAGTTAATCTTTGAATAAGTTATTGATTAATTACCGTAGCACGGAAACTCTCGAGGGAAAAAATGTTTTCGTTTCGAAAACTCCCAAAACAGTTGTTCTTCGAATGAGTAAAAGATGGTGTTTCCCGTTTCTAGATGATTTTCACGTTTTCGTGCAACATAGATTAACTAATATTAAGTTCTATCTATCAACTTAGTATTGATTGAGTTTCTGAACTTACTCTGAGGATGAAGCCATGAGAATTCCAGACGGGAAGACAATTGAAAGAAGTGGGATCAAACGGGAGTTGGGATTTGAGAGCAAGTTTGGAGTTGCAAGAATCGGTGGATTGAGAATTTGCTTTGAAGAACTGAAAGCAACATAAATGGCAGAGGAAGAAGGAGATGATAATGGTTTTGGGAATTTCCTTCATTTCTTCCTGATTTGGGGTTTGGGTGAGGAAGGAGTAAAGTTTGGGGAAAGGAGAGTGGATGATATATATGTATAGTTGAAGAGAAGAAGTGGTTGACCAGGTTTGATGGTTGTTGGCTTGGGGAACAAAACTACAAATGGAATGGCGTGTGGATGAGATGACACGTTGTGGACTAGGTGAGAATTGTATGAACATTAGATTAGATTAGACTAGGTGTTGTTCTCTCGAAGTTTAACAAGTCTTCAATCTCGAACAACTTGTTTATAAAATATAAATAGTCCGACTTGTAATTCTATTTTGAGTTTATTAGTTTTATTTGTCAATTTTTCCACTAAACCCGTGATTTTTGGATTTGCGTATAACGTACTAAATTGTGCATGTTAATTACAACTTTTTCATAATTTAATAGATTCAATCCATTCAGCTAGAATTTGTATTGTAATTAGTACGGAGTACAATAACACATACCAGAATATCATATCCTACCTCCGTCACACTAAATTACTTTCTAAAATAGCATTATAGAAGTATTAAAGTAGTATCACGATAGTTCAATACTCCGTTTAATTTAATGACACGTATCTCCTGTTTGAAATTGGTTTTGGTTCTATTTTATTTTTTCATAAGCAAAACTTGAATCATTTTTTTGAAGCTGATCTCTCTCGACTTTTAGAAAAAAGTTAGAGCAATTAGAGTTCCCAATTTTTATTTTATGTACTTGATGGTGTAAGATTAATTTATGAAAAGAGCCAATACTTTAAAGAATGTGAGGCCGCACTTTTGAAGAAGAAAGGGTCGACTATGGTAGGTAGTTGAATACTAGTAGTTGGGTGGCAATTGCGACTCAGCCATTTCAACAGATCGTTTTGTTTACGAATGGCAGATCGTAAGTAGCTGTCAAGGTCAAGTAATACCCTCCCTCGCCTACGTACAACTTTCTGGAGACCAATACTTTATTTGAATGATTTTGTGTGATTTTAATAATTTTTTTTAACAATATCAAAAATTGTATAAAACCAATCAAATAATGAAAGATAATTTATTTACTAATATTTATCAGGTTATCCCTCATATCACATGTGCACTATGCACATTATAGCGGGCATTGAAAATGCTCTCAAATACTCCATATTCAAATTCTTCTTTGGCACTTTCCTTCCATTCCTAAAGTCTTCACTTTTTCTTCTTTTGAAGAATAATACTACGTTTTTTATTACTCCCTCCGTCCCAATATAAAAGGCATATATCCCTTTTTAGGCCGTTCCAATATAAAAGACACACAAAGCAGTGTCAAACAGTGACAAACAAAGATTGATTTTCAATCTTTCATCTATAGTCCTTCAATTTTTATGTGAGAGACAATTTCATTCATCATCTTCAAATATCTTGATATTTAATCCCCTGAATATCACTTTTATAACAATCGGATGATTAAATATGAAAATACTCAAAAACAAATACTTCGTACTAAAAATGTCTTTTGCTCAATAGTCAAAAGATTAAAAGTGATAAAAATCAAAGTTGAGTATCAAAATTATTAGTGACATAATAGAAGTAAAAATGACAAAAACACTTAAGGGAGTGTTTGTAACAAATTAAAAAAACGCATTTATCAGTTTTTGACTTAAAAAAGTACTTATTTACCAAACACTACCAATTTTTACTTTTTCTCGGCTTGCGTGTGAAAAATGTTTTTCCTTTTTCTATCACACAAAAAGCACTTATTACCAAACACTACCAACTTTTACTTTTCAAAATCACTTTTTTCTCAAACACTATCAACTTTTACTACTAATCACTTTTTCCTTACATCTCTAAAAGTGCTTTTTTTAAGCAGAAGTAGTTGCAAACACTCCCTAAAACCCATTAAGATAACTATATAAGCTACATTATTATTTCGTCCTTGACGCATTTTCTAAAAGAAAACCATTAATATCAGTAAACTCTAATTTAAGATCCCAATTTCCAAATTAACAAAAGGGATGTCTCCATAGTTCTACTCAGGCTCTGTTTGCAAGCCCTTAATTTAAGTGCTTGTGGCTTTTTTTAAAGAAAAAAACATTTATTTTACCAAACACTAACAACTTTTACTTTCTCGACTTTCGTATAGAATCTACTTTTTACTCTTTCTATTACACAAAAAGCACTTATTTTACCAAACACTATCAATTTCTACTACTAATCACTTTTTCCCAAAAATGCTTTTATTTAAACACAAGCACTTGTAAACAAAGCCTCAATTACTTGTCATCGACTGATTGCAGTTTTGGCTCAATCGTGATGTTTGCCTTTTGAATTAATTCCACCTTTCATATTATGAGTATAGCATCAATTATATAATTGGTTATTTAACCAATTTTGGTACACAGTGCTCAGTATTCAAATCACTTAAGAGCGGACGTCTCCCTAGGAATTAGGGTTGGGTGTTCCGGTGCCGATCTTCCTTCTCGATCGTGGAGGGGGAGATCGTTGGCTCGGTTTGTATGTTCGGCTGAGGAAGGCTCTGGCCTGTGGATTTGCTCGCACTGCTTTTCTTTCGTTTTGGTTGTACAGGTATTTGGTCTTTGCTTTAGGTGGGAGAGCATGTGGCAGATTGTTTCGCCCACTTTTTGGATAGGAAGATGGAGATGATCATCAATGGTGATCACTGTTTTCTTGAGGGCGTCGGAGGAAAACTGATTCAGGAAGATGAGGACATGGGCGAGGAAGAGGCTCCGAACAGGAGTCCTCGGGCGGAAGAAGACGAAGAGGTGGATGAAGGTTTGATGATCCGTCCCCCTCCTGAACCACCTCCGAGGATGATACTTGAAGCAGGGATTCGTTTGTTCTGTCAGTTTATTTTATTTAATTTCATTTTACTCTTTTTGAGATTCTTAGGCATGAATGCTGTCGTTGTTGCTTTCTGTATTGTTTTCTTTCTGCCAGACTTTTACATTAGATGGGCTGATGAGGGTTTTGCTCTGGCCACGTTTGGCTCATTTAGACCCATTATAGGACAAGCGAATCATATTGCTCTATACAGGGTGATTGGTTCTCCAGCTGGTCCGAGAGTTGGTGGCTGGAAGTGTTTCCTTTATCGTTTATATCCCTTGCTGAATGTTTTATTATCAATTTAAGCCTCCTTGTTACAAAAAAAAACCAATTTTGGTACATAAACATTGGCGAAAACATTGGTTATTTAATATTGTTTGATTAGATTTAGTTTGAGACTTAAGAGGTGTTTGGATCTGATTCTTAGAACTGCTTCTGCTCTTTCAGGGAGCAGAAACAGAAGTTAGAGTGTTTGGGTGAAAGCGCAGAAGCGATTCTAGTACTCTAATTTACTTCTAGAATCATTTTCTTTAGAAGTTGGTCTCCCTCAGCTTCTGAAAACTGATTCCGATTCTGCTACTACTTTAAAAAAGAATCAGAAGCAAAATCAGTTCCAAACATCCCCATATACGTACAAGTATATATAAAAAGATCAATTTATATTACGTGTTTGCAAATATGCAATTGTAGATAAAACTTGAAAAAAATATCTAAATAGAAGTTAGACATAATAAAATTTAGTCAACTTTTTGTCCTTTATTCATAATAAAAGATCATATTTTAGAATTTTCCCTATGTTTAACCATTATTTTGAACAACTTTCAATAAAATTTTTGAGATATAAATAGGGGCTGAGTGGGGTGGGGGACAGCTACCACCGCTGCCCCACAATGGATACACCACCGTACATAATTATTGTGTTTTCATTCATATATGATCTTTTTGTCAATATTTTTGCTCAAAACTCCATAAATTGTAACAAAACATTAGTAAAGATTACTTCGGTAAATTCCACACTATTTGCACCGTTGTAAGGGAAATTCCTCAAGTTTTTCTAAGTGACTGCTCATCCGACAAAAGTCACAAATCATTCACTCATTCGACAAAAGTAATTTAACTCGAGCGCCCAAAACTATAATATGAATTGGCCAATGGCCCCAATGGGTGTCCAAAACATAGCTCAATGATTAATTCATTAGTAAACTTTTCCCCTCCAAATAGACTTTAATCAATTACGTTGATCAATATAAATTTATCACGGTTCTAAAGTTTATATTCTTCTATTAAAATATTGTTAATAAATAGCTTCGTATCATTTCAAATTGTAATAAGGTTTTATACGTAGTATTGCCAACTTAACAAAAAGGTTTTATACGTAGTAAATAATTACTGAGTATGAGATCGAGTATGTCATTGTCAAAAGTTAAAGATGATTACGTTTTATGTGGGGATGAAAAATATGTAAAATCCCAACTTTATGTAAATGTCAAAAGTTAAAGATACACTAAAAATCTCACAAGTAAATCCCCATTTTCTTTAATTTCATTTATTTGCGTATATAAATATGATCATGACTCACCTGTGGTATAATCCAAGGAAGTAGAAATTTGGTCTTGATGTTGTGTGAGGCGGAAAGTGGCGGAGGACGACAGCTGTCCGGTGGGTCCGAGGGAGTAGATCAACCGGTTCGACGGCTGGTCGGTGTTTAGCCGGAAAGCCATGTAGATTCTTGAATTCTCGGCGACGATGGATGAGCTCTGGTTGACAAATTGAAGGTTACCCTGATCAGGCTGCACTAGAGAAGGAGACTGCCCACCAAGAAAATACCTCTTCATGGTTGGTGTCCCACCGGAACCCACCCACCCCACTATGGCACTGGACCCCACCATCCTCCCATCTGATGAAAACCCCATTCCAATGTATGCATTCATGTTTGGAGCTGATAGCAAGAAACTCCACTCTCTTGAATCCATTTTCCTATACTGAAAAAAGAATCAACTTTTGTAAGTCATTGATTAATTACTATATAGCACAGAACCTCTCAGGAAAGAGTATGTTTCCGTTTTGAAAACTCTTCAATTAGTTAATCTTTGAATAAGTC